TCTGGAATCAAGTTTACTAAGGCAATAATAAAAGATACGAAGTCAGATGCATGTGAACAAGTACTAGGACTAAAATTTATTGGAAAAATAATTATAGAGCCAGATATGTATATTTCTGAAGTGTGCAAGGCTTGCCTCAATTTACAATGGCTAAGTTTTGAAAATAGATGATCAAGTATACTTAACAATAAAAATCTAGAAGCACTTCTAGCCGAGTGTCCCAATTTAAAAAGACTCACAATAAGAGATTCTAGGAAAATAAGTCCGAAAGCATTTTTAAAAATTCCAGGACTGGCTCCTAGTTTAGGGATGATAGAAATAGGGGGGTGTTTACGGATTAGAAAGGATATAATATCTGATTTTCAAAACTTATACCCAAAAATAAAACTTATAATTGAGTCTGATAAAGAATAGATAGAACTCATCCTGAAAATATTATTTTTTCTGGTACAATAATTATACAGTTATAAAAATAATACTAAAATAAGATCACATGAAAGTGCATTAGTTTTTGTAAAAATCAAAGCGTTAGAGGAAAGGCTGGATGATATAGATAATCGTTTAGTTACATTATTTTCCTACTCTTATCCATCTGAGCTTAAGAAAAAGGTTAAAAAACTAGAACGAACCATAGACTGGATAGAAATTATGTAGAAGAGCAAACTGGTTTAGAACCTAGTAAAGAACTAACAGATTCATCCGTTTTATCTGAGTCAGATTATGTGATACATGACCCAGAAAAGAAGGTTTACAAAGCAAAATGTGTGAAGAAAAGATCCAGTAATAAGAAGGTGAAATGTAAAAAGATATCCATCCCAATCTGTTAATGTTGAATTGGGCAAACTATCTAGTAATAGCTAAGAAATCTAAAAATATTAGGCGCAAGATTGCAATAAGTTCACTACTAACCCCATGCAATCCGGTAACTATTAATCGATTATTTTTTTAGATCAGAGGGTGATATTAGAATTACCATATTTGTTCCATGTTTTGTGATAATTGCTATACTAATGTAGATTGATTTCAGAACATTGTTTCATTTGAGATCAACAAATTAATTGACTATTAGTTTCTCAATGATCAGGAAACTTGTGTAAGCCCCTAATAAATAAAAATAATACATATTCAGTAAAAACATGTAACGAAGTATTGCTATGTCTAATATTTCATATCTTGAAA